GACTATACTATATTATAGCTCTATAATCTTAAAAATTTATAGGTACTAAATCAAATTAGGGAATATTAAATTAAGAACTTTTTATTACTATTTATTTATTTAAATACTAGTAATATTATATTAAAGGAGTATATTATACTATTAAAGTTCTTTTATACTATTTTAACCTATAAGGTTTTATAAAATAACCTAAGTTAAAAGAAGATAGGCTTAATAATATATATTATTAATATTCTATAATTTTATTATAAAAGATCACCTAGGAAAGGATAATCCAGTAGATTTTCTATCTTAAATAGACTTCTTAGAACCTAATTATAAGGCTGTTACTAATAATCTAATCTTATTATATAAATAATTAGTTTATAAGGGCACCTTAATAATTTAATGTTTATTTAGAGATATATCCTAGTTTAAGTATGATAAGATATCTTTATAGAAAAGACCTAAACTTAGCATCTATAAATTAGTAAGTAGATTTTTAGCTACTAGTATAGATTTAGCTAATTAGGCTAATATTAAAGAACTAAATTAAGACTAATTTATATTTATTTAAACTATAAAAAGGGCTTATAAAGTAGAAATAATCTTTAAAGATAGTATTTCTATTAATCTAAGAGTTCTTATAAACAATATTTAAGATAAGGATTAGGAAACTATTAGAAGGAAAATAAGTATTATATTAAATAAAAGTCTAGTAAATTATTAGGGAATTATATCTAATAATATTCTTTATTTTAAGTTATAGCTTTATATCTCTGTAGGATAAAGCCTATATTATTAAATTATAAGTATTTATTATAATAATATCTTATTAGGCTATTTTAACAGGCACTAAATAGAAGAACTAATTAAGAAGAAATTCTATTAGATAAACTTATAAAATAATATTAGAGAATATATTAATTTATGTCTAATTTATAAATAAAATATAATACTATAATGTAAATTATATAGTATCCTTTAATTATTATTAATCTTAAGTAGACTATAGAAAGAATTATTTATAAACTTTATAATTAGTCTACTAAATATCTATTAGGAACATAACTAGGTTAGCTCTATCTTAGTTATTATAAATAGATTTATAAAAATATACTACTTGATTACTATATTAATAATAATTAACTTAAGTAAGCTTACTAATATCTTCTATAAAACTATTAAATTAAAATATAGCCTACCTAAAAGAATAGTATTAGATTAAGGACTAATTTTTATAGGTAATTTCTAGAGTAATTTATATTATTAATTAAAGATTAAAAGATGTTTATTAATAGCTTTTTATTTATAAATAGAGAATTAAACTAAATATATAAGCTAAACTCTAGAATATTACTTATAATATTTTTCTATAGACTTTCTAGATTATTAGCTAGGTCTATTACCTATAGCTAAATTTATATATAATAATATAATTAATAAGTTAATAGGTTATGCACCTTTCTATACTTTTATAGGCTATAATTATAATTTTTATATATATTCTAAGAATAGAATATATAGAAAGGGGATCCCATCTATAATAGAATAATTAATAAAAATAGAAGAAACCAAGTCATAATTATAGGAAAATTAGTAAAAAGTAGCAGAAAGGTAAGTAAAATACTATAATAAGTACTATAATTAGCTAATTATTAATATATTAGGAAGTAAAGATAGTACTTATTAATAAGAAGACTTTATCAAACTTTCTATAATAAATATAAAATTTAAGGATATATTAAAAAATTAGTATCTTATTTTATTAGATCTTTTTCAGTACTTCATAATATTAGGAAATAAGTATTTTATCTATATTTACCTAAAAAAATATTATTATCTATATAATATCTTTTATATATTAAGAATTAGACCTTAGATAAATTAAGAATAAAATACTAATAAATGACCTATGCCTAACTTAGAAGATAATAGAGAATAGGAGGTTAAAGATATTTTAGATATATCTAAATAAAAAAGAAGAATTATTTTACTTAGTTAAATAAAAAGACTAACTAAATAAGTAAAACTAATAGTTACTTACTAATTATTTATCTGATACTTAAGGATTAATAAATAAATTTAATATATAAAGATAAAAATAATAAGATTACTTCCTAATTATAGAGCTGAAATATAAATATACTTATTATTTAGTTTATTATTTATAACACTATATTAAAAACCTAACTTAAAGCTCTAGAATAATAAAGATAAAGAAAGTCATATCTAACTTAGTAAGTAAAGCTTATTATTATCTTTATTTATACAAATACAGAATACTTTATTTTTTATCTTTAGAAAGACTACCTCTATATCTTAGAACTATAGAATAAAATTTATATCCTCTAGAAGAAGAGAAATATACTTAGTATTTTTATACTAGGAGATAGCTAGTACCTAATAACTAGTAGTAAAGTTATAGTAGATAACTTAATTAGCTTATTTAGAGTATTAATTACTAAAGAGAAGTAATAAAATAAGAATAAAATATATAAGTATATCCTTCTTTATCCTAGAGGATAAACTATACTTATATTAGTAAGCTAGCTTAGTACTCTTAAATTAATTAGCTAAGACCTAGATAATATAGGTAAGATTAGCTAAGGAAGTAGATAGGATAGAATTATAATAATTCTTCTTCTAAAATTAGAATATTTATCTTAGAATTATAAAGAAATCTTTAGTATTTCCTAATATATTTATAGATATAGAAATATATATACTATTATAACCTAAATACTACTAGTAAGATATACTTAAAGTAATATTAAAGATATACCTAATCTTAAATATTTTAGCTATCTTACTCTTAAACTCCTTAATACTAGTATAGAGGTACTTTAAATAAAAGTATATAATAAAAAATAAGAGAATAATAGCTAATAGATAATAAATAAGTCCTAGATCCATATCCAATTAAGAAGAGAATATAGATATAATATTAATTATAAAATTTTAAAATCTAAATAAGAATAACTTACTAAGGGTTAATCAGAAATAGTATATTAAAATAATAAAAAGAAAGTAATTTAAAGGATTTTTAATAAAGAACTATAAATATCTAGTATATTTATAGAGATATTAAAGATATTTATAAAGAAAAGTTATAGGTTATTAATATAATCTAAAATAAAATAAAGTTCTTAATTAGGTATAGCACACTATATATAAACCCTATAATAATATAATACTAAATCTCTAAAACTTCTATAAGATAATATTAAATCATATACCTAAGTATAATTCCTAAACATTATATATACTATATTCTAATTATAAAAGCTATATATTATAGTAATATATTTAAGTCCCCCTATAAATCATACTAGGTTAACCATAAGTAACTATCCTATATAAGATAAGTAAAAAGGCCTATACTTAATAGCTATAGGCAGCCTTAAGGAAGAGAGATATAATTATAATAGAAAATATCTAGGGACTTTAGGATACTATAGGAAAACCTCTTATTAAATAATAATTAGATAGTATATTAATGATTTAATAACTTTAGGACTATAAGATAGTCTTAATTACTAATTAATAGAGAGGCAAGGATTAGTCTCTATATTAATCTATAATCTTCTATGCCTAACTACATTCTGTTCTTCATCATTACAAAAGATATCCTAAGCAGGAGACTATGTCTAGATCTCTATTCAGAATATATTATAGATTAGATTAATTATAAAGCTAGATTAGTTAAATACTAGACTAGCATAAATTATAAAATATATAAATAATCTAGCCTATTATCTAAATCTTCTAATAGGCTTTAAGATATGTAATATATTTTATATTTTTAAACTCTATAAGATAGAAGGAGTAAACTTATAGAAATACTTCTTAATCTATAAAGTTATAAAAAGGACTATAAATAGTATCTAGAGATAGTCTTAGACTTGTAAAAGAAAGAATAATCTATAGTGTATTATATCCAATAAAAGAGATTTATTAAGGAAGATATCATCTAGGAACCTATAGAATATCTATAGTATTTATATATTTATAAATACTATATAAGAAATCCTATAAAAAGAGGAAACTTATCTTTATTAAGATAAAGATAAAATGAAATATAAAAAAATATAAAAGTCTCTAACTCCTAAACCTACTATTACGAGGATATCTAATATTAGATATAAATATAATATAGCCTATATAGCTAAGAAGATAGCTACTAGATTAGGGCTACTTAAAAGAGTAACTCTTATAGCTATAATAGAGATAATTATTATACTTTCTAGCTAATATACTATAAATATATAATATAAATATTAAGCTTATACTTAGATTATAATATATATTATACTCCTTGTTAATAGGAGGTCTTATCTTAGCTCTAGTTATAAAAATAGTCTTATAGAGCTAGATATAAACCCCTAACTATCTAAATATACTAAAGCTATACTAATTAATTGAGTAGAGTAGGGTTCTAATAATCTATACTTACTCCTAGCCTAATAAGGGTTATAAATTATCTAGAGCATGACTCTTATAATTACTACTAGATTCCTTTATAAATATGGAGAGAATTACGTATCTAGAGATAGGTTTAATACTAATAATATCTATTCTATAGAGATAGTAGCAGTATGTAAATATAAGTAGGTGATAATACAAAAGCTGTTATTAGACCCATGCTTGTGGCTGCTGTTCTCAAATATTGTCATACTTCTCCCTGTTTATGCCCTAGAATGGGGACCTGTGAATAGGTGGTTAGTTTTGCTGTTCTGCGTATAGCTGTCTGGTAAGTACATTGTAATGTGATCACTGCCCTCACACTTCAGACCTGTTGGGTACATATATAGAAGGGGTCTATAATGACTGTAATACCTGGCTGTGTTATATACTGTAATTATATGTATATATTCACGTAAGGGCTTAGGATACTATATCAACTAGGCGCTGGGCTGTGAAGTACAGCAGACTATAGTTACAAAGCATGGCAGTCCCCTACTTGAGGTATAGCCATTAGAACGAAATGCATCATCGAAACTGCTTTTTAATGATTTCACTCAGTCATCTGGGTACTCATCCCGAATGTTACTGACAAATCTTCGACGAGTATCATCCCACCGGCTGAACTGCTTCCCCGCAGTTTCGACAAGGGCTGTGGGCAAATCCGACAAGTGAGGAGTAAGTATCTGGACATTTTCTTCTGCAACATAGCGAACAGTCTTATCCTCGGCCCTGCAATATCATTAGTATTGTCGAAGTAGCCTGCAATAGACAGTAACATACAGGACATGGTAGAAACTCTGTTGTCTGCCGGCCTGCAAGCGATCAATGCCCATTCTTCTCATCCACTGTTCACCCGCATCACACTCCGTGTCCCAGCCTGTGATGATTGCCGTGTAGTTGTACCGGCGGTGGCAAAAGACCTGGCCTATCCTGTATTTTACACGAAGGTGCTTCGTCGTTCGGCGCCTGATCTGCTTAGGAATTTCATCCACAGCTCGCATTACATGAAGGCTTTCAAGTATATGCTCATACTCAAGCGTCCCTTCAAACAACGGCACAATGTATTGCTCGATAATGTCAATATCCGAAGGAAAATCCGTCGCGAACAGCTCCATGAACCAGGGCAGGTAATGTCTAAGTTCTGCTGGTCGAGAGGGAGTTGAAAACAACAAGAATGACCACAGAGCGGCATATTTTGCAGCAACAGCATCTATTGCTGATCCTCGCGAGTTCGGAGATTGAGATATGTGTTGAACAGAGTTCAGTATGTTCCTGCCACAACGCAGCACAATATCTGCAACAGTGGATGCGCCAAGAAATGTGGACTGTTCAGCCGTTGATGCTCCTAGGATGTTCAGCTGATTTTGCATATTCTCAATAGGCATTTCCTTCTCAGAGCGGAATGGATCCATGTAAATCGGTTCAACATTTGTCGTAGAGTCGCGGACTTTGCCGTCAATATCCCGGCCGATAGGTGGCATGACAACCACATGGACATGAAAAGGGAAACCACATGGCCGGGCATCTAGATTTACTTTTTGAGCAATATAGCAATAAATAGCTGCCGAGATTAGCGGAAGGGAATTGTGCTCTGGGTCGTTCAAGGCAAATCCTAGAAAATGGTGCTGCAAGCAGTGGTAGTCGCGTCCTATCTGGATACCTGTCAGATTGCTTGCTCTAAGGTATGACGCGACGGTGCGAGCTTTTTCGCGAGGGGTGTACTGATTAATATTAGGGCAACATGTTAATATTTGCGCAGCAATTTCATCAAGCTTAGTGATGACCTGTTTCTTGATTAGCACAAAATTCACATATTGCTGTTCACAGCTAATTCACCCTATACTGCGGGTGTGGTTCCTCACATACTTCATCCAAGTTTCCAAACCCACTCTCTGGGATGAATAGGTCGAATGCGCCCAGAGCCCTTTGTAATGACAGGGATTCTCCATTTCTGAGTTTTGCCCATTCTTGAACAGCGATACGTCGATGGAGGCAGGTTAGTAGGGCTTTTGCATAGTACCTTTGGATCCAGTGATAGTATGTGAGTCTAAGAAAATATGTCCGTAGCAAAGATCCGCAGGGTGAATACCTTCTGGACAGGTAGTCGTCAGCTTCGAATCCTACAGACATGTGGCGCAGGAGAGCATCTTTGATGTCGTATCCAAGACTGATGGCTGCTCGAAATTTCTTGATTCTTCCGGTTTGTCTTTGTAGAATACTATCCAGTAAATTGTTGATTGTGCGATCCACATGGCATCGAGCAATGAATAATCCTCTCCAGTCTACCAGGGAGGGGGGGTCTCCAAGTCTCCTTTGCATGTCATGTTTAGGATCCCAGAATTTAAAATAAGTTTGACAGTAATATCTCCAAATCGACGGTTCATTCACTGCGTTATTCAATCTGCGCGCAGTTCGAGATAGAGCTGCTGATGTATGAGGGGTGCAGTAGCATATGATAATATAGAGTATTTCTTCAGGAATATCATTGAGAGAAGAAACCATACCGATGCATGGGGCTGGAAAGATATAATGAGCAAAGCAAAAAATATCATGAGGCTACATAGACAACGCTACCTAAATATTTGTACTATCAAGTAACAGTGAATGTGTGCTCATCATGACTTGCCTGACCCACATTATACCAGGGATAGTACAGTGTAGTGTGAGGTGGTAGGTAGGATCTAACTATTAATATATCTACTTCCACTAACCTTACCTGTGCTGCCTATCTTACTCACCATATTCAATTAACCTTTTTCATCTCTCTTATCTGCACAGCTTATCTTTCTTTTTTCTCTTTTTGTATCTTACCTGTGTAGAGTTGCATTTGGTCTGAGTTTAGGTAAGTTCAAGGCTAGTTGGCATCAAACTTTAAATATAATATTTTTATTATTATTTAAATCTTCTTATACTCCGTATTATATTTTAGATTTATATTATTTATTCTTATAATACTCCTAAAAATCTCTTAATAATCCTATTATATTTAATTTTTATAAGATATATATATTCTTTTTTTCTTTCTTTTTTATTATATAAAGTTTTAGTAAGGGCCTCTTTATAACTTATAATATTTAGATAAGAAGTTATTAATATATTATAAGAAAGTTATAAAAAAATATATTCTTATATTTTTATTTTGTTATTCTTATTATTATTATTATTTAATCTCTCTAAGATAAGTATAGGCTCTATAAGCTTAAAGTATTCTTACTAATAGAATCGCTGTGGTTATGTGATTTCACTAAGGGTGAAGAGAGAGGTAGGCTAGGCCTTACCCTTTTTACTATTAGAGAAGATACTCTTATTTATATCTATATTACCTAGTTACTTTATATAATAGAGAGTTATAGATATTATAGAGATTTCACTATTAACCTTATATTACTAAGATTAACCTAGATATCTACTAGCTATCACTACTAATATATATTTACTAATATTATATTCTCTCTTACCTAAGATAAAGCATATTCATAATACTAGTAATTATAGGATTATTATATAGATTATTACTTTATGTATAAGGATATTAAAGTATTAATATTTAGCTATTTATAAGTATTATTTAATACTAGTTAATATTATTTAGTAAGAGTATAATTAAGTTATTTAATACTAAGAGAGAGTAGCTTCTATAAGTTAATATTAATTTATAGAGATATCTTAAGTATAAGAGTAAGAGAAGAGATTATATATAAGAAATAAGAGAAGATTATTAGTATAGTTATTATAATAAAAATAAAATAAAGTTATATTTATTATTTATTTTAATTTTATAATAATAACTCTACTTTTTCTTTTTTTTAATCTTATTATAATTAAATATTATTTATATCTCTTTTACTACTATTATCTTAGTAATTCTATTCTTAGTTTACTTATATAGCTATATTAAAGATTATATTACTAATTATCTATTATAATAGTATTATGATTTATATTAAGTAAAGTAAATAATCCCTCTTTATCTTAGTTAATAAACTAATATATCTAAATAAAATAGGAACCCTACTTAGTGCCCTTAATATTTTACTAGTAAAGTTAACAAATCTAGTTTATAATCTAAATTAGTATTTTAATACTACAAAAGAATTATATATATGAAAGATTTCTATAAAAATAATTAAATATTTATTACGCTGCTTTAGACCTATAATAAAGTCTATAAAAAAATAGGTATAAGACTTATTAATATAATTAAGATATCTCTCTTATCTTTATATTAGCCTCTATATATAATAATTATATCTTATTTATAGGCTTATATAGTAATTATATTTAGAGTAAAAGAGGTACTAAGTATTTATTCTATATAAAAGATTTTTAATAATAGTTAGATACTATTCTTAATAAATAAGTTATTACTAGTAGTATACTCCTTTCTCTAGTTACTAATAGTTATTATAAATAGATTATTTATTATATTAAGCTAGAATACATTACTAGGTATACCCCTCCCCTTATAAATATCTTAGTTAAGAATATTAAGATAATTAATATTAGTATTAATAAGAATAATTCTAAGAATAATAAAAGTTTATTAATCAATAATAAGAGTAATTCCCCTACTTCTCTTACTATTAAGAAGATCATCTATACTTATTTTATTATTACTTTTATTAAAATTTAGATATTAATAGCATCTATTCCCTTATCTTTATTAGCTAGTAAATCTCTCTTTAATAATAATCTAATTAGAATTATAAGATCTTTAGGCTATTATAGATCTCTAGTAGCTTCAATAAATTTAGTGTATACCTCTTCTAATCCTTTCCTATCTATTATTAGACACACTATATAATTTATATTAAATACTAGCTATTAATATACCTAGTAGACACTACCCAGCTAGGCTAGCTTAAGCTAGGCACCCCTAGTAATACCTAACTTAGGGCACCTATAGATAATAGCTAACTTTCTATTTTTACTATATTCTCTTATATTTTATACTCCTAGTGGAAAGTACCAGTGCATACAGCCCTAGCCAGTAGATATCTACTATACTAGGTGCTAACTAGTAACTACATGTTATTAGTGTACCCCTAACCCTCATAGCTTAGGAATCTATAGAAGGTAGTGACAGCAGAAAGGGATGGGGGCAGCAGCTAGATAGGTATAGAAATATAGGAGATATATAGGTAACTAGGGAATCATAATAGTGAGGGAGTATAGAATCCACTAAGTAGTAGTATTATTACTAGTAGTAGTAGTAGTAGCTATAGAGGTTAAAAGATAGTAGATAAGGAGGGAAATATATATATATCTAGGTGTCTAGTCCTCTACCCCTATATATATATATATATATATTCTTATAGCAGTACAGTCTGAATAGGATGGCTATAGGTGATGCTGCAGCTAGTACTGCTTATTAGGAGCCTCTAGTGTGGCCCAGCTTGGTGCCAAAATAGAGTAAGGAATTAATCAATCAATCAATCAATCAATCATAATCTTATTAAGTACTTAATAATCTATATATATCTATTACTTTTCTTATAGATTTAGGACTAGTACTATTAATAATCCCTATTAGCTTACTAATACTTAAATTACTTCTTTCTGTAGGAGCTCTTCTATCTAGTAAAGAATTTTCTTAAACTTCTCTAGTAAGTATAGGTAGATATTTATATTTATTAGCTTAGTATTACTAGTATTAATTATATAGTTAATCTTATAAGTTAGTAATATTCTAGGACTAAGTTCCTTCTAGAATATATTCTTAAAGTTTATTATTTATTTCTTAGCTTAGATAGTTCTTATAATTATTAACTTCTCTTTATTAGCTTATAGAAGATATAGTTATACTATAATTTTATTTTTTTATAGTATTTACTATAGTTACTTTACTATTACTTATTATACTAAGTTATCTATATAGTATTTAATCATATATTAGAAATCTATAAAATATATAATATATATTCCCTCCTTATACTATAGGGTTATCTAGCCTAAGTATTAATTAATTTATAGATTAATACTCTTTAACTAGTTATATTCTAAAATACTATTATATTTATTAGTATCTAGAACCTATAGATTAATAAGGCTAGTCTATTATCTAATTTATATAAGTATTTTTATCTATTACTTAGTACGTATTAGTACTATATTTAGTAGTAAGATAGCTAAGAATATATCTCTCTTATAATAAGAGAATTTAATACTAGCTAGATAATTAATAAAAGTTTTTAACTTAATTAATTACTCTTTTTCTTAGACTTCTATTAAGTAATATATAAAGTTAATATCTAGAATATTTAGATAAGCCTTAGTAATTTTAATCTCTTATAGGCTAGATACTTTCTACTATAATTAAGTATCTTTATATAGTTCTTTCTCTCTATTAATAAATAAATCTTAGTAGATATTCTAGTATTCTAAAGCTTTCTTTATTTAATTAATAAGTACTTCTAAATTTAAATAGCTAGCTGTAAGATCTTCCATATATAGCAATATACCTTGATATATAAGAGGTTCTTATCTAATCTTAGAAGAATTAGCTATTTATAAAGACCTTAAAATATAAAATTAGTAAGAGTAAGATTAAGTCATATAGATATATTATTAATAAAGCAGTAATAAACCTAATATTTATAAAGATAGAGATTATTATCTAGTAGTTAAAACCTAAGAATATCTATAAAATATAATAATTTCTTAAACTTATAATATACTATTACTAATTTATACTAAGATTTATATAGAGAGTAACTATATGTTATAAATTACTAAAAGAGACTAATATAAACCTCTAGAAGAAGAAGTTTTATCTAATTGTCTACATAATAAGATACTAGAATATATTTTGTAATGGAAAACATCCAGGGACTCCAGAATGGTGCAGGAACACTCCCTATTAAATAATGACTAGATAGTATATTAATGATTTAATAACTTCTGGACTATAAGATAGTCCTAATTACTGATTAATAGAGAGGTAATGATTAGTCTCTATATTAATTTATAACTTTTTATATTTAACTATATTCTATTTATTAATATTATATTTCTAATCCTTCCTTTTAGTTACCTATAGAAATAATAGACTATTAAGCAAATATTAATAATAGCTTAGAATTAGATAGAAGTTAATCCTCTATTTAAAAAAAAGGTAGGATATTACTCTTCTAGATCCCTCTATTAAGGATTTAGTAGCTATATAATCTACTATAAATTAACTAAAATAATATTAATAGTTATAAAAATATCTAGCTCAGCTTTAGTTATAAATCTAATAAAATAAACCTAAATTACTACTAAATCCTCGGTAAAAAGCATCCTTACTATTAAATAATTACTAGTATAAAATTAAAATTAAAGATATATCCTAATTTAATATTATCTTTAATATTTAATATTAATAAGAGTAGTTCTTAATCTATAATATAATTTTAAATGAGTACCAAATAAGTATAATTTAGGATATTAAAAGTTTCTAGAAGTAGTTAGTTATATAACTCCTACTTATTAATAGAGATAGTATAGATATATTAATAAAA